TATCACGTACTCAACAATTTATTTAATTTAAGTAGTCAATAATGAAACAAAAGAATATACTTCGATACATCAAAAATATCGTAGTGGGGATTTATACTTAACTTTGTCAAATACTCTGGATGCCAATTTCCATATAAATTAGCATGAGCCATAGTTCAGGTGCCTCATATCTCAACAACATACGACTAGAGGCTACTACTTAATCCCTAATTTAGCAGGAGCCTTAGCAATACCAAGGTAAAGCCTAATCATATCATATAACCACACCAATATTCTCGCTTCTGCTGCTGGCCTACAAATGTTTTATAAGATTGCTGCTAAAATAAAATCAGTTAGTTTAGCACATTAGGTAGTAGTTACTAATAGGAATCTAATTTTATGCGTACTTCCAAGTACCTTTTTGTGTCTCGTGCATCCTACATTACATACTATGTATAAATTTACCAGGCAATAGCACTATGCACCAATCAATTATAAAAGTAGCATGGTGCTGTCTCCTTTCTAATTGACACTCTAGCAGTATGCACAAATCAATTAGATATGCAATACGTAATCCAGAAGAAATGAAGTAATCAATCAGAAAGGTAATCTGCTAGAAAGTAGAGCGTTGTGATGTCGCCTGCAGCCTGCTCTTCTCACTACTCAGATGCCGCTCATCACCAGTGCTGGATCTGCTGCTTGCTGTTGAGCTGATCACCGAAGAAGAACAACAGCTGCTGCTGTTGTACAGATTTGCTCGCCTAAAGCTCGAGCTGTTGAAACTGCTACTGTACCTGTAGAACACAAGAAGACTGCCCCTAACCGAGCTCAGCATGAGATTCGTTAACCTGTTACTGCCCTGTCTAGATAAGCACAAGCAGACGATCAACACGAACAACATGGTGAGCAGCAAGCTCATGTGGTAAACTGGCCTGCTGAACAGAGCCTGGTTTCTCTGGCCGGATGAACTGAACCTTGCTCAGCCGCTTAAAAAAAAACTCACCAAAAACGAGTCAAAATAAGTCCGATTGGACCAAGATTTTAACCGCAACTTGAGAAAAACACAGATAAATTGCTCCAGCTGAAAAAAACCCTAAATCGATTGGAAGTATCTCACGAATTTAAGAAAACCGAAACCCTAGAAGAAAAGGAAAAATAAGGGGAAAACACAAATCCGCGGCGCTCAAGTGAGATTAGATGGGGGAAACACCCTAGCCTACTCACGTGTGTCCTAGCACCGATTTGCCGCAAGAAATTTTCCCCAAACTGGAGTCAAATCGCAAGAACGAAAAATCCCCAAAAATTCCTCCGAAAATCGCAGAAAAGGAAAAACTTCAGATTTCGAGAGCAGAATGAGTGCTCGCCCGAGCGGAGCGGCGAAGGGTGCTCGCCCAGGAAACGGTGCCTGCCCCGGCCAATAGCGAGAGGCGCTCAAGCGCGAGGGGCGGGAAGTGGAGTTCGCCCCGGCCAACCGGCGAAGGGTGCTCGCCTAGGCCGAACCAGTAACCTGCTCGTTGGAAGTCTTCGCTCTCTCGGGCCGTTTGAAAAAATGGGACTTGCTCGACACTGTACATTCGGGACATAGGCTCCGTTCGCGTGTCCTTAAACTCGATCTTGATCTCTTTATTTTTTCATTCGAAATAGTATTTTTCTCTCACAAATTTCTTCAGTATTCCTCCAAACCATTCAGATTTCTCCAAAATTCAGATAAGCGAATAGGCCATACATGACCCATTTATTATCTACTCGAATATCATCGTAATTAGAAATTAATTTTTCGAGGGTCATTTTTACAATTATTTCCGCTCTCTCATAGGCTTCTTTCTTGGCTCTCTAAAAAAATCACGAGCACGAACGGTGGGCGTCAATAAGTCTGTTCGTTTGGCTGTGGCTTGTCGTAAACGATCGTAAATTTCTAGCCAGAACAGTATTTTTCTCTCACACAATCAGCCAGCAGTACTTCTTCACGAACCAGCAACGATACGAACCACCAACCGAACAGGCTAAATGTTGATGTCGAACATCCGGTATGTGATCCGACAGGAAGAGCAGAAAAAAGTGAGAGGCAAACAGATCGACTCCTCCCCTCCTCCCCCTTTCCTGTTTTACAGGAGGAGGAGGTTCTCTTTAAGTTTTTTATGAGGCTATTTACAAAAATCTCATTAAAAGCTATAAAAAACTTCCAAATATTATTTTGTAATTCCTAGCACGTATAATTGGATCCAAAACATGACAGTGGGTCCCCGACGTATAATACATCCTGGGCGATTTTTTTTATTTTTAACCTTTTTTTAAACAAATTCTAAATCTAACACCGTTGCTTTTTTATTTTCAAATCTAACACTTTTTGGCCCCAAAGTTCGTGGCGCGGCCAAAACACGCTGTCGCGTCATATTCATCGGCTCGGCACGATCTGCCACGTCGGACAGCGATTTCCACGTGGAAATCCTTGTCGCACCACTGCCGTTGGTGCGGCAGCACCGTAGCGCCACGCCATCCAGACTGGCGGGGCAAGGCACAACCTTAAAAAAATTGTATCTTTTTCATACGATCTCGAATAAAGATGATCTTTATATGAAAATTATAGCTCTCGACGAGATTTACAACTTACTAGTTTTCAGTTTTATCATTTAAGGTTGTTAAGATGCTCAAAAAAATTAAACAAAGTTTCAGCAGTATATTAATCGCGTGTTTTCTTGGAAAAATCATATCGTTCTTATATGGTGTCAAATGAATATACTTTCTATATGAAAGTTGTAGCCCTTGATGGGATCTACAAATTTTTAGTTTTGAGTTTTTGCATTTGAGATCATTAAAATACTCAAGAAAAATAATATAAAATTTCAGCATCAGATTAATCGCGTACAAGCACTTTTTGTCTTGAAAAAATCATATATTTCTTATATGGTGTCAAACGGAGATACTTTATATATGAAAGTTATAACTCTCGGTGGGATCTACAAATTTATAGTTTTTGGTTTTTGCATTTGAGATCATTAAGATGTAAAAAATATAAAATTTTAGCATCGTATTAATCACGTACAAACGCTTGTCAATTTGGAAAAATCATATCTTTCTTATATGGTGTTAAATGGATATACTTTCTATATGAAAGTTATAGCCCTCGATGGTCTACAAATTTATAGTTTTGAGTTTTGCATTTGCTGTCGTTATCTTAGGCACGCGATGTGACTGATTAATAATCGAAAGTCGACTCAGGAGTTCAAGTGCTACCAAAAAGCGGATGAAGATGATTGATTTATTGGTTTGTTATGCTGATGATAGATAGTTTAGTGAACCACATATTATTACTATCTCACTACACTTTCGTCATCGCTTCACATAAAAGTTTCATGTAAAGATGGTGACAAAAAGTTATGTAACAGTAGATATCATCGTTAATTGTAAAATTAGTGAGATCTAATAAACTTAGAAATGTACTGTTACATTAAGAAATAAAAAAAATATGTTAAGGCCATAGTTTTCTAAGTTTATTAGATCTCATCAATTTTACAATTAACGATGTCTACTATTACATAACTCTTTTTGACCATCTTTGCATAAAATTTTTATGGGAAACCACGACGACAGTGTAGTTAGATAGTAATAGTGTGTGATTTATTAAACTATCTACCATCAGCCTAACAAATCAATCATCTTTGTCCATTTTTAGTAGCACTTAAACTCCTAAGTCGACTTTCGATTAGTAATCAGCCACATAGCGCGTTCAAGATAACAACCTCAAATGCAAAACTCAAAACTATAAATTTATAGACCCCATCGAGGGCTATAATTTTTATATAGAAAATATTTCAATTTGACTCCATATAAGAAATATATAATTTTTTTAAGACCACAAGCACTTATACACGATTAATATAATGCTGAAACTTTATATTATTATTTTTAGCATCTTAATGATCTCAAATGCAAAAATTCAAAACTATAAATTTGTAGATCCCACCGAGAGCTATAACTTTTATATATAAAGTATCTTCATTTGACACCATATAAGAAAGATATGATTTTTTTCAAGACGACAAGTGCTTATCCACGATTAATATGATGCTGAAACTTTATATTATTTTTTAGCATCTTAATAATTTTAAATGCAAAAAATTCAAAACTATAAATTTGTAGATCCCACCAAGAGCTATAATTTTTATATATAAAATATCTCTATTTGACATCATAAAAGAAAGATATGATTTTTTCAAGACGATAAGTGCTTCCACGTAATTAATACGATGCTGAAACTTTATATTATTTTTCTTGAGCATCTTAATAATCTCAAATGCAAGAACTCAAAACTATAAATTTATAGATCTCGTCAAAAGTTACAACTTACATATAAAACTATATTTATTTGACACCATATAAGAACGATATGATTTTTCCAAGTTGACAAGCGCTTGTATGTGATTAATATACTGCTGAAACTTTGTTTAATTTTTTTAGCATCTTAACGACCCTAAATGAAAAAAAACTCAAAACTAAAAAGTTGTAGATCTCGTCGAGAGCTATAATTTTCATATAAAAATCATCTTCGTCTGAGATCATATAAAAAATATACAATTTTTCTAGTGTTGCGCCTTGCCGTGCCGGTCTGGATGGCGTGGCACTACAGTGCTGCCACGCCAACGGCAGTGGCGCGGCGAGGATTTCCACGTGAAATCACTGTTCGACGTGGCAGATCGTGCCGCGCCGATGCATCTGACGCTACAGCGTGTTTTGGCCGCGCCACGGACTTTGGTGCGGCCAAAAATGTTAGAATTGAAAATAAAAAAATAACGGTGTTAGATTTAGAATTTGTTAAAAAAAAGTTAAAATTAAAAAAAAAATCACACGGGGCTTCCTCCGCCGCTGCTACGAATTCCACCGAACACCTCCCCTGCTCGGCCTATTCCGTATCTCCCAGCGCAGTGGGTGCTTCGTCCCCGTTGGAGAGGCCCCGGACTGCGTCCCCTCAGCGGGCTTCGCCCTCCCCGACCCCGCCAGCTGGTTCCTCCTCGGCTGCCGCCATGGCCTCGCGCTCCTCCGCAGCCGACCCAGTTGGCTCCAGCTCCTCGTCTGGGACCCCATCACCGGCCACCGACGCTGTGTCCGCCTCGGCCGGCTCGGGGGGCACGTCCAGGTGTGCCATGCCACCGTTGTTGGCGACCCGGTGGGCCTGGGCCGCCGCGCGGGCTCCTTCCGCGTGTCCTTCGTGTTCACCGGCAACGGCCGTGCGTCCGCCTGCCTCTACTCGTCGGAGACTGGCGCCTGGGGCAGGCTGATCACGGCGGACGCGTTTTGCCACAACGTCTGCCTGAAGCCCAACGCGTTGGTGGTGGACATGGTGTACTGGTTGCTTGAAGATGACGACGGTGGCATCCTCGAGCTCCATTTGAGCAATGAGAGCTTGGCCTTGGTCGAGCTGCCACCAAGCGCTCAGAGCTTTTACCAGTGGAAGCTCCAGCTGATGGAAGCCGAGGCCGGCGTGCTGGGATCTGCTGGCGTGAAGGAGTACAGCCTGCATCTGTGGGCGCGGGAGGCCAATTGTGATGGCACTGCGAATTGGGTGCTGCGCACTATCATTAACCTCATTGTGTTCGCTCCGCAGCCAGGTGTGACTTCTTGGATCACGCTGATGCCGCCTATCAAGATAGTTGGGGTTGACGAGGGCAGCAATTTTGTTTTTCTAAGGACGATATTTGGAATCTTTACGGTCATCTTCGACGACACCGCTCTGCTCGAGAAAGTGTCTGCTGATGAACTCATGGGGTTTGTTCATCCCTACTCAAGCTTTTTTGTCGCAGGTATCAACAATTAACATATATTTACATTCCCTTCAAGCATGGATTGTCTCTAAATGGGTATGTGCACTGCACAATATTTGCAAGTTAAGCAAGTGGATGTGGATGGCATCAAGATTTGTGTTCTTGTACAAAATGGCAAACCTCGTCGCACATTTGCAGTTGAATATTCTGTCAAGGAAAAATAAGGTCAGCATTAGGTGATGGAAGTAGCATAGCAGTATTGGCAACTAATGTCTCTTTGGCTTTTGAGGCTCCTTTGTTCTTTTGTCTTGATCTTTCTGCTGACAGGAGTAACTTGAGGATAGCGAAATCAAAGTCTGCTGCTACTGAACAGCCAGGATAAATGAGTGCTGTTTATCGTATTAACCTGTTTGATATATTAATGCCATTGAACACCCATTTGTTTATTTTGAAACAAAAATAATTGCAGATAAAAACAAACTATCAACTTTGTCGATTGGATGAAATCTTAAGATTGAATTAATATAAATGGAAAGTTTGTGCTTATGATACCCTTAGCATCTTTGACAATGTCCATATGTTAATTCTTTGATTACTAACTGATGCTATTCGTAGTATGGAAATATTAAATAGGCAGCAGTAAAACTGTAAGTAAATATTTTTTTGACACGGTAAGTGAATATTTTAATCATACCTATAAATGACACATCAGAGACCAGCAAGGTTTCAAGGAGCACACTTCGTTCAGACTGGGTCAGGGGAACTCCCGTGCTTAGTCAGGCTGCAGTGCCTTGAGGCTAGATGTTGTTTGGATGTCTGTTGGTCTGAGTTTTAGAAGGGAAAGAAGATTTAAGAAGTGCAGGAAATCATTCATTTTATTTTTACAGCTTCGTGACTGAGTGCTGGGACTATTTTTGGGATTTCAATCCTTTCTGTGTTGTATTCAGCACTTTTCAGAAATGTATGGAGTTTATGTTTGGAATAAAACTTGGTATTGTTTGTTATTTTGTCAGTTATATGTTACATTGTACAGATTACCGAGTATTATCATATTATGAGTATGCAAGGTGTGAGATGGTATTCCTTAGTTGCTTAATTTTATTGAATTTTCTTCATCCAAGATAAGGGAGAAACAATATAGTGCTTTATTTTCTATGGTTTGTTCATAAATGGAGCAGGTGGAGGACTCTACCAGTTTATTCAAGTATCTATTTGCCTCCTCAGTTAATTCAATTATCTATTTGCGTCCTCAGTTAATTCAAGTATCTATTTGCTTCTGCATAACCTTACCTACAAATTCAGGCCTTTTGGTTACTCTGTCATCTCATGCTAGAATTAACTTCACTATATAAAACGTGAATAAACATTTTTTTCTAATAAAATACATTAGGTTAATGATCTTGTTCTTCAAACCTTCCACTGTGAATTAATAGGATTGCTTCCAAGTCATACCTGTATGATATTTTGGAGTTAGGTACTGCATGTGGTTTAGTTCATTTATTGTTGATTATGGAGGTAGTTTTGTCTTTGTAGTAGTAATGGGCACTCTTTTGTGTGGGCTGTTGTAGCTAATCCCCCACCACCCACCCTACCTCCATTTTTCCGCTGTTAGCCGCTGGGTTATATTACCCCCTTTTTTCCATATGGTTAGCCACTGGGTTATATTTTTGATGTTGGGCCTGAATATTCCTTTTCCTGCGATTGTTGGTGGAGTTGATGGTGGAGAGGGTTACTATGGAAACAGTGAAACTCATATATAATTAACTATAACTATGGTTACTCTATTGAACTTATGTGCTGGGATGCTGTCTGGGCTCAAGGAGAGGTGATGAGTAATGTTGCCATTTTTCTGCGAGGAAGCAAAATCTAAGTAAATGGAGGAATTTATTACTCTTTTGGTGTATATGTCGGGTTTGTTACTTGGTTGTTTCAGAAGACGGTTACTAATTTATTAGCTGCAGAATTGGAAGAAGTACAATAGTGACTACTGGTTTACTTAGCTATATCTCCCTCTTGGTCCAATGTTTCGGATATTTTTCTGCTTGGCAGTAGTTGTTCTGCAGGTTTGTTGTCATTGTGGATCTGCAAGTCGTCTCATAATGTAACTGAGCTGTCCGATCAAGATCTAGCGGTTTCTGTTTGTCTTCTTAAAAGATCCGAGTTTTTAGTCTTCTGATATATATAGCATTGCTCATATTTCTTTATCTTTTCTTGGTTATTTGTCTTAAAACTACAACCCTTGATTTTTGTCAGTTAGACATTAGAAAAGTTACTAAAAATGTGAGTAACCATAAATCTCCCAGCTAAGCTATGGGCCTATTTGGATATTTCCTAGAACTCCACATGAAATTTCCCGCAGGGAAAATTCCCATGTTGATACTTCCTTCAATCCAAACTTTGTGTGCCTTTCAAGATTTGTGTTTCCCAAATTCCTTTTATGTTGAATACTAATGTATGCAGAGTTTTCGATACGTATCTAAGTACATAGCAAAAACTCTATCTATAAATACCAAAACGTCTCATAATTCAGAATGGAAGGAATATTAGGTAGCTACATGATTATTTCATTAGTTAGAACGTGCATCCTAATATCGCGAGTCAAATTCAAACGATCAATGAGTTGCGTTTGCACTCCTGACAATGGTTCTGCAGGACTGCAGCTGATAAATCTGTAACCTATCAAGCAAGTAACCACACACATTGCAGAAAATAAGCATATGAAAAAAAATGTAGGGCACCAGGTCATCAAACATAAAAATTTAGGTAAGATTTAGTAAGATAGTAGCAAATTAAGGCAGTGCCAACCGCATAGCATAGCAATAGCATGTTCATCGTGACAAACTGTCTACGGGAAAGTTCTAAGAAATCAGCTACGAAAAGGAATGTAAGATGCACATAGCACAGCACGATTCATCCTTGAACATCTCTCGAATGGATGAAAGTAAGCCACAACCGATAGACTTCCTGCAGTGTTGTTGCTAATCACATCTGCTGATCGAGGTGCAGCCCCATCTCACACAGAACAACCCGATCTGGCATGAGAAAATTTAGAATAATCAGCACTGGACGTCAGGCTTCAAACAAGTCACTACAGGAAACAGTGACTTTGCCGTGTGCCACAAGCACTTGGCAAAGGCTTTGCCGAGTATAACACTCAGCAAACAGTACACGACATCTACAGTGCCGGTAAACAGCTATTTGCCGAGTGTTTTTTTATCGCGCACTCGGCAAATAGTTTGCCGAGTGTTAAATTTGACACTCGGCAAAAAAAAAGGGTTTGCCGAGTGTTTTTCTAAAATACACTCGGCAAAGGAATATTGTTTGCTGAGTGTTTTTGAGAATTATACTCGGCAAACCTATTTTCCAAAGAAAAAAAAAAATTTTTTTCTCAACATACCATTATTGTTTGCCGAGTGTTTTTGGGAATTACACTCGACAAACCTATTTTCCAAAGGAAAAAAATAATTTAATGTGGATAAACGCTAACTGAACTATTCAAATCATGGCGATCCTTTTATCCACACAAGCCAGCATTAAATGTTGCACGGGTCATACATATAATCATCATTCAAGGTGTTCATACATTAGATAGTTGAATAGTCAATAAATTTTAAGCTACATTGTAAAGGCCTCGCAAAATAACGTAGACCCAAGTTACAATGCTATAGTTCATGCAACTAACGTACAGGAAATAGATAGAAGTTTAGTAATTACTACTTCCTACAAGCCCTTAGACAGCAACACAGTAGCTGCTACACATCCTTTCATCTCCATATCCTATAGCCAAAACAAGAAAAATATAACGAATCATGAGAAATTTTGTTAAATATGTAGTAAAACAATATAGCTGATTGCTTGTCCAACGTCTCCGAATTAAAAGAGTGATCATAGAGAGCACTACAAGCAGGGATGGCTGAGAAAGAAAGAGCTAACAAGCTATATCTAAAACCAGTAATATAGTAACTAGAGCAAATCTGATTATTTACTCCAGTTCACAAAGCTACCTGATACTATATTGGGGTTCATTTATGCTGTACAGAATAAATGAACACTACAATAATCTCCAAATTCATTGTTTTGGCAATCTGATCACACTCTTAAAAATAATTCTTACACTTCCTTCAGCCCTAAGTGACAACTATATTCAGATCCAAAGAAATGATTTTCAAAGAAGCCAAATAAGACATGGAAATCATTCGGTAAATATTAAAAGGCAGGGAAGAAGGGAACCTGCGGAGATAGGTGATGGTAGCGAAGTCGCTCTATATGGCATTCAGATCCAAATTTTACAGCAAAGTCACTCCATATGGCATTCAGTACAAATCTGAGATTAATTGACAGTTGGAGCTCAAGCAAATATAAGTAAAGACAATGCTTCCCCTTTTCCACATTCTGTACAAGTAGCAAAATTTGCTTTGGTAAAGCAATAAAACAGTCCATATATGGTTGATGACATGAAACATGTGAAAAACTGTAGGCATATGCATGCTTCTAGTGAGAAAAGGTAAAGTAGGAATATGATAGTTGATGAATATTTTTTACCTAATCTAATGGAAAAGTGTCTTGTCCTACAGAAGCAGTTTGCTCCTTTTCACCTGCATGAAAAGGATTCCCTTAATATCATATGGTGAAAGGAAACATTAAAGTAGCATATGCTACTTCATCGGTTCATCTAAGCAAAACTGTCCTTAGAAACATACGTGAAAACTTCGTCAAGCAAAACTATCTTTAGAAACAAAAGTGAAAAGGAACATATTTTTAGAACCAAAAGTGTTTAGATATCTATGCAGGAGTAGCTATCAAATGTAAATTGATAAAAGTGCATGCAAATGTTAAAACAATTTATTAACCTATATCTAGGTAATAAGGAACAACTCAGTGAGGACAAATGGACTGCATGTCTGTTCAGCAAATCAGTGAAAAATGCAGCTGCCCAATACAAATTCAATGCCTATTGTTCAATTCAGTATTCTAGCACCACTATAGATGGGTAAATAAATTGCCTAAAACAATATAAAAGCATTTGCTTCTTGCACATTGTGCACTGTTGGATTATATCTCATATTGTGCACCTAAACCAGAGGCAATGTAATTTTTTAATGTCCACACAGTACAAGTAGTGCTTCACAGTGTGTAGTAATAGATGAGGCCAGCAGGTGTGTTGCTAAATTGTAATCCATTATGTATTCATATTTGCAGAAAGTTATAAATCTGGTAGTCTACGCATAAAAAACATGTTTTCCACAAAGCAAGAATAGGAAGAACATAAGGCAGACTACATCTTACCCTCAATACTGCAGTCCTTTATTTGAAAACAAACATTTTGATAAGTCAAATCATAATATTCAGGGTCTATTGTTCAGTGCTCTAGCGGTCTGTATA